GGGGGGGGGGAAGAGTAATAATAAAATTAGCATCCTTGATTCATCCCCGACTTTTTTCAAGGTAATGGAGAACCTAGTGATCAATGGGCTTGGGAATTTCTGTGCTGGATCAAACCAGATGCTTGATGTTAAGCACTGTGGGTTGCTGCTATACACAAGCACAGAGGTGAGAATTAAAAGGACACTGTCTGATGGCATGTGTCTCCAGTAGGATAATAATTTAACTGCATTATGTGTGTATTATGCATATATATGCATAGAGAATGAAATGATGAGTCAGCAGCTTAGAGGTGTGGAAGACAGAAGGCAGCACTTGATTCTCACATGGCAGGCTAGCTGTTTCCCCACAGACAGCTGCAAAGCCAAGAGCTGCTCCTGAATACTCAGGGTGATTAAGAAGGGTTGAGGTTCAGAGAGTAAGTGTGTATGTAAGGATAAAAGATTCACACCCAGCTATGCAGATATTCTGGGATTAGCTTCCATCAAAATGCAGGTCTGGGGAAATCAGCCAATACAATGGCATTAAAAAAGGGCTGACAAAGGATGAGTTTTTGTAACACACTGCTGAAAAGGACAAATGGAAACACAGGCAGCCTGCAACATTAAGTCAGCTAAATACATATGCTGCTCTGTCTCCATTTTATTCAGCTATGCCAGTTTCCAAAACTTTATTCATTAACACAGACATCCATGAGACATCCACCTTTAGAGCTTATAGCAGCTTCTCCCCAAGTTCAAAAAGATAGCTAGTGACACATATCTAAGAAAGATTCTCTCCAATACTGTCACAGAGCTCCTTAACGTTCAAGAGAGAGTGGCCTGCATTTTTTTTGGTTAAGATAATGTTTTGCTACTAGATAAGAAAGCTTTAACACAGTCCAGCAGAAAACAACAGGCTGACCTAAGGCCTATGGAAAAGTCCTCATCTCAGCCTGAAAACATCGACTGAAATCCAAAATCGTACTCCAGTGAGTTTCAGTAGCAAAGGATTTTTCTGGCAAATGAAGATAACAAACCAGCAGTGATTTCTGTGAATGCCTTGCTTTGAATTTAATGCACACACAAATAAATTACTTCCTGTACTCGTTACAGAACTGCTAGAACAAAGCTCTTTGATTTGGCCCAGCCAAAGGCGACACCTTCAGCAACAGAAGTGACCAGCCCATCACTGCCAAGTAAGTAATGGCAATGTTTTACTGTGGGAACCAATACTGCAGGAAATAGTTAGCTAAAAGTGTAATTTTTAGTAAAAGTACCACTGATTCCTTTTCATACCTAGCCAGCAAGGTTTAGGCCTCCCAACGAGGCCGAGTTATACAAACCAGCGGATAAACCTGACTTTTTGTTTCACATAGCAAGGATCTGGGGGGTGTGTGTCTCAAATTACATTTTTTAGTTTGATTTTCACTGACCAAGCCTAGAAAACTCAGTTTCACCAAGAATGAGGATGTCCATATGCAGAAATATGAAGTAATTAATGGAGTCCTCCACAACCTCCCTAAGACTTCTGCAGTTTGTCTTGGGCAGGTGCATAGCCAAGCAATTGTTACGTCCCAGAGTACGTCAGGGCCCCAAGTGCACCACTGGGATTCTGCAGCCTCTCCCACTCAGCAGGGTCTGGCTGCCTGTGCTCCAGCCAGCTCCAGCACAGCACTGCTGTAACCTGGGATGGTGCTTCCAGAGAAGAGTTGGGTGAGAAAGAGCTGGGAGGGCCTCCCTGCTTTGCTTGGTAGCTGCTCAAGCCCTCATATGCATGGCCTGAGCTATGTTAAGGGCACATCTGCACCTGTGTTATCCCACTGATATTGGGCTGCTGTGCTGGTTCCTGGCTTGACCTCAGCCCTTCCTCATCACTACAGACCCTGCCTGATGACTGCTGGACTCTTGACTGACCCCAGTCATCAGATCTGCTCTACCCTCCTTGCTTGGGTACAGTGGGTCTATCCTCTCCACTTGAGAGGTCCTCTCAGTCTTGCTTTCACCTTCAGCAAAGCCACGTTCTCTTGCTGCTCCCTGACAGTGAGAAAGAATAGCCTGCCTCAACTATCACTTCATTTCTAATGCAAGATAAATCCTGTTTCAACATCAATGCACTTTCCCTCCTATGATCTTGGCAGGAATAGCTGCAATGCCTTTTTATTTCAAATTGCACTTCCCATCCTGAGTGCTACACACATTTGATACCAACTCACCATAATTACTAACACAGCACTGACCGAGTGTCACTCCCCTGGTCCTCCAGTACCTAGAAGGACTCTCACACATGCTATTAAATTTCTGCAGAGCCCCGAGTAAAAGGATAAAAGCAAGTGCTCCACCATCTGCTCAGCTGGACTTCACAGGAAGATCTGTGAGCTTGAAATCCAATTGCCAACCTTTTATCATCTTCTGCTAAGACAGGCAGTAGAATAACAAACAGAAATCTTAACAATCCACACAGAAGCCCTTGAAACATGCAAGCATATTCAAGAACTGAAGCCCACAGCTCACGACAGAGCTGTGCTTGTCAGGCTAGACTGCAGCAGTATGACACAGCCAGGGCACACAGATCAGTTGAAAGGTTAGTTCAAAAGTAAGGCCATGTAAACATGTCAAACGTGTTATCCATGCTCTACCCTGGCTTGTCAGAGAGGGAAGGAAAACAAAAGGTCTGGTCTGCATCCATTATCCAAATAATATTTAAAAACAAACCAAAAAAAAAGCCTGAAGTGCCAGGATCAGCATCACAACAGAATACCTCTACTTCTTCAGCCCCACTGCAGTTGCCCACCACTTAAACCACACCATCTGAGTGGCAGGCAGAACTTCCATGATAGCAAGTCCAAGGCCACAAACCCACAAAAGACACACCAGCTTCAACACTTGAATTCTCTGCCTCAGTGCAACATGCAGAAAACAGCAAAGTCAGAATCTCAATTTTTCCATTAGGAACACACAAAAAAAAAAAAAATCAAGGAGAAAGAAAACAAAAACACAAACCAAGCTGGTCACCAACTTGATGTCATTTTGCAAAACCATTTTGATAAATGCAGAACCACACAAGAACCTGGAAAGCTGAGGGTTTACATCAGTTAAGATTTAAATAGCCCCCACTGAGGATTAAGATGGAAGAGAGCTCGTCTGCTACTTTATCCATCTTGGAGAAAAAGGAACCCACTGTAAAAGTCACAGAAAGCTCCTCATTGCCTAAACCATGTTTCTTATCTTCGCAGAAATATTGAACAACACACAGTCCCAGTGGTGCCCATATCATGTCCCAGGGTTTACTCATTAGCTTAACTGAAGCAGAGACACTGTCTTTCTCCATTGTGCTTGAGGGCTTCATTGAGTTAAAAAACATAGTGTCACTCCTTGAGGGTTTAAAGTACTATTTTTTTCTTACCTCCTTACACAGAACCCAGGCTAATGGTTTCAGCAAATGCTGTAGCTAGAAATGCTCTACATGTTCATCTACCGTTAAAATTCCTGGCCTTCTCTTACATGACTGTTTAAAGAATTACCTGTAATAAAGTTTCCCTACTTTCAACATCCAAAAGAGTGCAGATAGACTAAACAATTTGCATGAGTTCTCTTTATTTCATTTAGAGGTGAAGAACTTCAGGAAACTTTGCTTCCACAGGGCCTCTATCACATACAGAGATACATCTGTTGCCACGTTTTGCCATGGGATTGCTGTTGGGTGGTGAAAAGCAGCTAGAGCAGACAGTCCTGTTCACCAACCTGTCATCGTGCTGATTTACTGTGACAATTCTGACTCTATGTAACAGAGAATGGTTCGGATATAACCACAGCAAGAACTTATCTGAATTAAACTTCAGCTGCATCTTCAGCTCATTACAACTGAGGCAGCTGGCATCCCTAATTAGAAGAGAAAATCTCCTTTTCACCCAAGACCTCCACCCATCAAAGGGACTAAACTCCTTTAGTTAAGAGAAAAAGAATGCTCCTTAGAACTCCTTGGGCTGTTTTTTCACACCATTTGACTACCTAAATAAATACCAGATATTAACTATGATGGTAAAGGGAGGAAGTAGGGAGAGGGGTCGAGAATGATGATAACTTGTATTCCATACCGTTCCTAGCAGCACATGCAATTAAAGACATCTGGTCTTGTAAATATCAAAAGGACTAAAGATGAACATTGTAGTTTTACATTCTAATTCTCCTAGCCAGATCTTACAGAAGAAAACAACAGCCAAATTGTTATGGTCTAGGCACTTATGAAATCAACATGGTTTCTCCTATTTGGATAAGAGACACATTTTTTTCCATCTCTTACCTGCGCATTGGCTTTCCGTCCATGCACCGTGGAGAGAAACCTTCACCCTATGCTTCAAGACCTGACACAAAAGGAAAAAACAAAACAAACAAGAATCAGGGTGATACTCTGAAGCAAGAGAACCTCCTTTCCTCACTTCAGTCTGGCTGTGGGACAACAGAACTGACCACATCCATGCACTCGTTGGCGTTCACGCCCTTATCCAGCTATACTGTTCAAAGCCTAGATAAACAATGTCTGAATTGCAGAGAATAAAGCAGAAGAAAATATAATCATCATTTAAAGTAGTTTCACCACAGGTGCATAGTGATTCTTTAGGAAAACAGAACACAAACATCCTGGAGTCAGCAAACTGTGCCTCTCTGAATCCTTAAAATTGTTCTTCCAAAGGAAAACATATCTCAAGTAGCCAGGTGCTCACTCACAGGCAGGTGTTTCTCCCTCATACATTTACCAAAGATGTAAGGCAGGCTGGGAAACTCCAGCAGCACAGCCCTGCTCAACAGCTACACTGCAGAGCCAAAAAACCATACAGGATGGAACTCGTGTCTGGAAACTGCAGAGAACTCTGTGCCCCCGAGGGAAGGGGGATGCTAATCAAGGTACTACATCTGCAAAGATTAACGATGCTGCCCAATGCTCACTAGACTTCCACTCAAAATACTCATTTTCTCAGAGGAAAAACAGCTGCAAATTGCACAGGCCTTCCACATTCAACCACTGGCTTCTAATTCTAATGTAGATTAACCCTTTCTAGGAGGGCAGTGTCCATCTTGATTTCCTTGTTAACAACTGCTCAGTTAGGAATTCATTTCATTCAATCATTATTTCAAGCAGCCAAGCTTAACTTTGTGTCATGGATTGAAAGGGCAGAAGGGGGCTCTGCTTCTGGATTGATATTCACGGATTTCTTCCCATCCAGAAATGGGGTGAGAAGTGTGAAACCAGGGGAAAAGCAAGGAGAGAATGAGACAGAGTAACTCTGAAAAGAAACAGAAGTAGCATTTAAAACGGGAGAAATGAAGTTCAGGAACAAGGAAACCACTTTTGCAAGACTCAGACTCTCAGATTGGAGCCTGCACCCAACAACAACAACATCATCTTTTTGGCACAATTTCAATTAACCTACCAAACGGCTTTATTGGGTCTCTTGCATGCAACATTCTCCAGGCACACGGTCACAGAAACCCCGACAGAGCAGTTTGCCAGCGCACGAAGCAGCAGCTTGGACTCGCTGCCTTTCCACAGCTGCCAAGTGCTCAGGCTGATCCTTCCCCGCACAAAAGCAAGGCAGTTCCTCCCAGTGAGAGCACCGCATCCCAGCTGAAAGGCCAGCTGGGACTGCCCAGCCCCTGCCCCATCACCCTGCTCCTCTCCCCAGCACCGAGGGGCTGCCCGGAGAAGAGGAAGGGCAGGGAAAGGGAACACCGGCCGGACAAGGAGCATCTCCAAACCTGTCAGAAAACCTGCAGAAGCCGCTTGGAGCCCTTGGCCTTGGACGATGCTATTCTTAGACCCCCGGTTGCATCAGA